TTCTTGGCGTGGTGGGGGGGGTGGGGGAGGGGTGGGGAGTGTCAGGTAGAGGGGGGCTAGTAAAGGGAGGTGTTGGGGGGGAAGCATAGACGGAGATGGTGAAATGACACAACAAAGATGAGCAGCTGACAGTTTGCTGCCGATCCTTCAGGAGCATTGTTTACATCCAGACAGGCGCTGCAGGCACCCCCCTCATCTCCATCTCTCCATCGCCCTGTCTCTCGCTCTATCATTCACTCCCTCTCTTTCGCTTTGTCTCCCTTTCTCCTGGATGGGGGTGACATGTGGGGCAACACAGAAGCTCCGCGTGGTGTGTGTGTGTGTGGAGAGGGAGCCCTTGTAACAAATTTACACTTGTGCAACTGCACTGCATATACAAGAACACACACACACACATACACCATGGAGGCTTGAAACACCTTGCAATTAGCCTTTATCATCCTAATGAAGTTAATACCACAGTGTAATAAAAGCCTCTCGCTGCAGAGTTTAGTATTTGATTACAGAGGCATGAATTACTATAGTCTCGTGAAAAGAGCCACTGTGAAAACATGGAGATAAAAGACACAAGAGTTGTTTTAAGGACCATACCGCTATGTGGTTTTAGCCCCATGTACGCGTTACAGTTTTGTTCATTTCTGGTTTTTAAGTTGCACTATACAGGTTTAGATTTTTTTTATGTATTATTCCTACAGTTCCAGGCAACTGTGTTTCCATTCATTTTCATATGGTAATATAACCTGTACATCAAAACCATAACTTTGTCGAAAGATAACACATATGTGATGTTCACTTTATTGGATTACACAACTCCAGCACATTTCAATCCAATGCTGATAAATCATACTACTGTTCTGAAAAGAGGAAATGATAGGATGGAGGAAGAAATATGTGGAAATTTCTGAAACACAGTAAAATGGTTTGCAAAATGTTAGTAGAGAAGAAAAGAGTTTGTCATTTAGAACTGAAAAATTGTTTGATCACGATGAATGGATGGCAACTTCTGCTGTGGGTTTTGATAACTGGTTAAGTATGGATTGATTGTTAAAGGCAAAAGTGTCAAACACTTTCTGGTTCTGGTCACTTTGCAAAACCATAGGATGGTCCTTTAAATAGATCAGACATGAGGAGATGTCCGGTGCCTTTTAACTATGAATAAGATTTTTTGCTGTGCAGGGAAACGTTGCAGTAAATGTTAATTGTCAAGCAAACACAATAACTCACAAAGCTTTAGAGCACTCATCACAGCTCACAGTGTCGATGCTAAATCAATCCACTACCTGCCGTTCATGTGTGTTGGTGTCTGAGATTTTGCATACGTGTACACTTGACTTAAAATACTTAGGAGATGGAGAAGAAGAAAAAAAAAACTCAGAAATGTTGCCAAACCCACAAAGAAGGCATGCAACACAAAGCCATGCACATTCATACGCATGTCACCGGCAATCAGCATGAAGGCAATCTTTAACCACAGCCAGACTACATTACATTTTTGTGCACGGATACATCTATGCCGAATTACAGCAGACGATTTAACATTTAGTTAAGGAAACATGACACTCCAGCCCATTTAGTTTCACCCCACACTGAAGCACGGGCAGATGCTTTTGATATGTGCATTTAATTTTCAAATGGTTAAGATCATAGCTGCCCTTTTGATCACAGAGTAATATCATACTGTGCTGCAGCTCAGACAACTGGGTGGATTTTACTTACATATATACAATAACTTAAATAGTCAATACAAGTAAAAATCAGCGAACTGGCAGAGAGAAAGAGAAACCACCCACTACTGCTTAAAACAGACATGCTTCAAAAAAAAAATGTTAAATTTTTCTTTTAAAGGAGTTCAGAAGTACAGACTATCATGGGTCCTTTTAAAACACTGAGCAGGTCTAAATCTACTTTGTGCCACAGCAGTAAAAGGCAACTGATACTGCACTCACCTCCTCTGAGTAGTGATCTGAGGGAAGAGGGGGGTAGTCACACTGTTCTATCTTCTTACAAAGGGAATAAAGATTCATCTTATCCCCATAGAACGGACTCTGTAATGCTGCCATCTGAAATATAAAGACATGAGAAAAAAGATGAAGGAAATGGGAAGCAAAAAAGGTTGAGACAAAAAAAAACGGGGTGTAAGAGAGCAAAGTAAAACCTTGAAACATTCAATCAAATTCTCAACAGGTGCAACACAGAAGACGCTGTGCAGTATGATAAAAGTATAGCTTGCAGTTACTGCTATTAAGGTATAAGCTTAGTGATTAAAATGTGGAATAGGCATGAGACTAATAAAGTAATTAGTACAGTCATATTTATGTTTTCTGTAGTAGAGTGAGTGATGGTCTGAAATTCAAGTGGATGAAAAATCCATGACAAACCTCCCTTAGCTTATGTGTTTTCCTCTAGCTGGCTGGTCCTTTCTAATACACTGCTTTGAAAACTTGAAGAATGACTGGAAACAAAGAGCTGAGAAAGGATGAGAAGCATGAAAGGTGAGGGGTGTAGAAATATGAAAGGGGGGAATTTTTCAGTGAGAAAACTGAATCCTCAAAAAAAACAAAAAAACAAATGCAAGCAGACAGAAGAGAAAGGCCAGATAGGAACGGGAAAGAACAGGGAGACCTTTGCAGGTGAGAGGAAACAGGTGAAGTATCCTTCCTGCCTTTCTAAAAATAGAAAACATACTATGCCATTTTGTGCCGGGCTCAGTCGCTGACTCACTTCCTGTTGTTTAAACGTGCATGTGCAAGATGAAGTCTGCAGCAAACCTGCACAACACACTCAAATGATACGTTTTCTGATTCAGTGGCTTCAAAATAAATACTGTGAGACTAAGGCGTGAGGCCAAATTGCATAACTAATGATAAGCATGGTCCAAATAGATGTCACTGTTAATGATGGTGAGCTGCTACAAGACGCTGAAACCTGCTAGCTTGGTTTTAATTTATTTACATATTACACAGGGTGAGGTGGGGTGAAGTAAGCGTACAACTAACAAGGAGTCTTTTCATTGAGTATTTCTGGACAAAAAGGGCCTTGTTTTATGAGCAACAAAAGTGCACAGTCAAATGTGTCTAAGTACAATAAAATGTCAGTGACTTCCAGAAGATGTATCTTCTACATAAATGTAAAACAGGATCTAGGTCCATTAATGAACAGTCACTGTTCACAGGTGTCTGTTTTCCTCACAGGTTCTATATCTGCATGCGAAGTACGCCTGCCTCTATTTTGTTTCATCATTTTAAGGCATTTTTAACTTTAATGTGATTTGTGATCTTGATGAATGTTTTTAAACTGTGTATGTGTTAATTGATAGCAGGCGAATGGTGGCAAACCAGAACAAGGACTTGTTGCTATAAAAGGACAATAAAAAAAAA